CCAAAACCACAAACCCTGAACCCTGAACCCTAAACCCTAAGCCCTTAACCCTAAACGCTAAAACATGAACCCTAAACCCCAAAACCTAAACCTTGACCCCTAAACACGAAACCCTAAGCCCTAAGCCCTAAACCCTAAACCCTAAACCCTAAACCCTAAACCCTAAACCCTAAACCCTAAACCCTAAACCCTACACCCTACACCCTACCCCCTGCACCCTATACCCTACACCCTGAACCCTAAACCCTAAATCCTAATCCCTAATCCCTAATCCCTAAACCCTAAATCCTACAACCTCCCTAAACCCCTTCACACTACAGCCTAAACCCTAAACCCCAACCCCTCAACCCTAACCCTTCATCCCTTAACCCTCAGTCCTCAACCCTTCACCCTGCACCCTACACCCTACACCCTACACCCTACACCCTAACCCATAACCCCTACACCCTACAATGTAAAACCTAAACCCTGAACCCTGAACCCTAAATCCTGAACCCTGAACCATAAACTCTAAAACCTAAACCCCAAACCCTAAACCCCAAACCCCAAACCCCAAACCCTGAACCCTAAACCCTAAACCTGGACCCCTAAACCCGAAACCCGAAACCCGAAACCCTGAAGCCTAAATCCCCAACCCTAAACACTAAACCCAAAGCCCTAAAGCCTAAACCCCTGAACCCTAAGCCCTTAACCCCAAACCCTAAACCCTAAACCCTAAACCCTAAATCCTAGACTCTAAACCCTATCCGGAACCCTAAACCCTAAACCCTAAACCCTTATCCCTCAACCCGAAACCTGCACCCGAAACCCTAAATCCTAAACCCTAAATCCTGCACACCCCACCGTGGGGTGTGCAGGGAGTGGGATGGTGTGCACTCGAAAACCTTTGATGTACCAAACTCGAATCCAGGACATGAGGGACTACAAGGATGTGCGCTCTGGTGCAGGTTTTACGGTGTGAAGCAGATCATCTTGCTAGAACCGCGCACTGCGTTGGTGTGGTGCCCGAGGCGGTTCCCACCTGGTCAGCATGCCTTTCAGTGCTGCACGACGAATGCGCATGTGATTTAAAGTGTGCGGTGTGCATTGTCCGCACAGCACCCCGCCCCCTGCGCACCCCACCAGCGAAGCCCTGCACCCCCCCCAGCGCAGGAGTGCGGCACCAGCAGCTGAGAGCAGGTGCGAGTGCACGGATCCCAGCGGTCCAGGAACGTCCCAAGCTCAGAGCGGACCACACAAGCTCTGATGAGCATGATGCCCTCATGGTCAGCACCGGCAGCACCCCGTAAACACGGAATCCCAGCCCACCGCACCACCCAAATGCTTTTCCGAAAAGCAGGAGGAGAACAGGTGCGAGTGGACAGATCCCAGGCACTCAGCACCTTCCCAAGCTCAGCAGATAACACACCGGCTCTTGAGAGCATGATGACTTGGTGGTCAGCACCTATATCACCCCTTAGCCACGGAATGACCGCCCGCCGCACCTGGAAAACAAGGAGCGGAATCCCAGAACAAACTCTTACCCAGGGACCCACTGGGGGGGCGCAGAACTACACAGCGGGCATGGAGCACACCAAGGAGCACGCCTGAATGTCGGCGTGCAGCGGGCGCTCCAAGAGCTCCCCCCCTCCCCCCCCCCCAAAGCGGCTTTCCCCTCCCTGGCAACGCACTGCTTTTGACCAGTATCAAAGGACTAATATATGACACGACCCCTTGACCATGAAGGACATATATGTTCTTTCTGATAAAGTCATGTATGCCAAATTTAAGGTCATATATGACTTCAAATCGACTTTTCTGTCAAAGCCTCTCATTCAACATTTCAGGCTCCAGTTCTCCGTGCTCTCCAAATGTCCAAGAAACGACCAGTTTTGTTTGGACATTTGGAGATCATGGTGACAGGGCTGGAAATGTCGAACGAGAGGTTTTGAGGCAAAAACGAAGCCTTTTCGACATTTGGATGGTTCCATTTGGACACCCCTGGTTCTCGAAGGGTTCCTCAAATGTCAAAAAAGAGTGCTCCCAGATCAAAAAGATGCGTTCTTGTACTTCTGCCCAGGCTCGAACTGGGGATCTTCCGCGTGTGAGGCGGACGTGTTAACCAACTGCACCACAAAAGCACGGAACGGCTGAGCCATACACATGACATTGGGAGCTGCTTCAGGCTTTTTTGTACCAGCGTCCCTCGATCCTGCACTGAAATTCCCCCTTCCATTGCTCGGCCGCAATCCGGCTGCGAATTTCTCCCGTGAATCTGCGGCTGAGCTCCTTTCTGGATGCGGCTCATGACCTCCGGCAAGAAAGTCACTCCAGAAATCCGTTCTCTCGAACTTTACCTTACGACGGAGTTTGACCATCAACAGAGCAGGGCGAAGGGATCGGCTGGCACGTCGAGATCGCCCCGTCAGGTCGACCATCGCTCGGGCCAAAGCAGCCCCGCAGCGTCGGAGCCCCGAACCTTGGTGCGTCGACCGCTCCCAGTGCTCGCCCGGGCCCACGCTTACGGCACCCATGCCACGCTTACGGCCCCCAAACCCATGCAGGCCTAGCCGCTGCGGGCCCACCCGCTGGCCGTCTCACGCCCGCCACCCGGATCCATGCACAACTCATCTGACCCTGCGCGCGCTGCGCGCCACTTCTTGCCGCAACAGTGGCCCGCTGGTCCGCACCAAGTGCGCGCCCCTCACCCCAGGTAGGATCCATCGCCTGTTCACGGCTCCGATTTACCATGGGCCCAGAGCCTTGATGAGTGCAGCCTGCCGCCGGACCAAATGTCTGCCCAGTCTCGTCTCCCTGCTCCACTGGGCGCGCACCGCACGATGGTTTTCGCCCTTGCCGCGCGCTGTCTTCGCACACTCCGCGAGAGTGCGCAGGACCTCTCTCGTCCTCCCTGTTCAATCATATCCTCCGTGGGGACGGATACTTGGCGGCCATGTTGGTATCAACCAAGGTCTCTCCATCTCTGTTTTCCCCTCCGTGAAACGGTGCTTGCTCACCGCGCGCTGGTTTCCGCCCTTGCCACGCGCTCACCCTGCAAGCAAGCAAGCCTCCTGCAGAGGCATCTCGAACACGCGAACCACCAGCAGCCGTAGCAGCTTTTACCGGGTCCTTGCAAGAATCCGGGGACGGTTTTTATATGTTATTTATTCGTACGACCCCTACGGTAGGAGGCCCTAGGGACCAGGGAATTGCTGACGGGGGGATTCAAGGAGATATCCTTGGTTTGGCTGAAAATTACTACAGTACCCGACCCGGTTATAAGCTGCTACGGGTTGCTGGTGGAACCCTCACCCTTCTAGGGCCAAGGCTGATCGCTCCCGTTGGTTCGCACAGTCCCTTGACGGGTAACTGAACCGCTCAGGGTTGAACCCTGAACCCTAAACCCTAAACCCTGAACCCTAAACCCTAAACCCTAAACCCTAAACTCTAAAACCTAAACCCGAAACCCGAAACCAACAGGGTCGCACGTGGTCCTGCGCGACGTGGAGGCTCCGCCGACAACTTTCGCTCCGCTGGCAACTTACGCCGACAACTACCGGAGGGGGCTCCACAGGTACGGTCCAGTGGCGAGCAGAGAGAGAGATAGAGAGAGAGAGAGGAAATAGAGCACTAGCTGTGCCTCAGTCGTGTTCGCTGACTATTCCTATGTTGACATGCTGGGTTCGTGGTACAAACCCGTCAACATTGGAGTGGGAAAGAGCCTGGTATCACCAAAATTGGTGAGACCAACTAGAGAGAGAGAAAGAGGGAGGGAGGGTGAGAGAGCGAGAGAGAGAGAGAGCGAGCGAGGGGGGGGGGGGGGGGGGGGGGGGGGGGGGGGGAGAGAGAGACGGGAAGCTGCTCCTAGCTTCGTCTCAGTAGGGTCCGTTGACTATTCTCAAGTTGACATCCTGGGTTCCTGGTACAAAAACGTCAAGTTTGGAGCGGGAAAGAGTCTGGCGTGAAAACAATAGTGAGGCCACATAGACTGGACAGTGCTAGAGTTAGGCGATCATATAAACGGTGCTCCCCCCTCCATACAACGATGCGCATGACCTCTCTCTAGGTCCTGCTTGACAATCTCATCCCGCCAGGCATTTAAATCAAATGCTCGAAATGCATACTTTTGGCGTCAGATTCTGGCTGAAGTGGACAATTTGGCAACGTCTGACGCCAAATGTATGCATTGCGAGAGTTTAATTTCAATGCCTGGCGGGATGAAATCGCCTCCGTGGGGGGGGATTCTTCTCTGCCGTGATGGTGTTAATCGCGACTCTTAACCCGAAACCTTCAACCCGAAACCATGAACACACCTTCAGCCTTAGACCCTAAACCTTAAATCCTAAAGACTAAAATCTAAATCCTAATCCTAAACCCTAAACCCCAAACCCCAAACCCTAAACCCTAAACCTTAAAACTTAAAACCTAAAACCTAATCCCTAATCCCGAAACCCGAAACCCCCAAAACCCGAAACCCGCAAACCCCCAACTCCCCAATCCCCTGAACCCCCGAACCCTGAACCCTGAACCTTAAACTCGAAACCCGAAACCCGAGACCCGAAACCCACAAAACTCTGAACGCTGCAAGCCCCGCGTGCCACAGAGTCTCTGGTCTTTGGTTAGGTTTATTGAAACGGATCCGCAGGCCTTAAGAGGGCCGGAGTTTCTAGTCAACTCTCTCTTAGAGGGACCGGAGTTTCCAGTCAACTCTCTCTTAAGTGAATCTATTTCTGAGGCCTAAGTGAATCTACTTTGGCGTTCTCATAACCTTGCGTCCTGAGGTGCCCTTAGAGCCTAGATACCCACAAAACCCTTCAAACCTAAACCCTAAACCTTCAAACTCCGGAGCCCGAAACCCGTAACCCGTAACCTGCAACCCCTAAACACGAAACACGAAACACGAAACACTAGAACCTAGACCCGAAACTCGAAACCCGAAACCCGAAGCCCGAAACACTGAACCATAAACCCGAAACCCGAAACCCGAAATCCAGGAGGTGTGCCGCACGAGGCGAACTGTGGCGCGTTTCCAGGTAGCAGCTCTAAACCCTATACCCTAACCTCAGAACCCGAAACCCTAAACCCGAAACCCTAAACCCTAAATCCGAAACCCTAAACCCTGAAAATTAATCCCAAATCCCTCAACCCTCAACCCTAAAGCTTAAACCCGAACCCCGAACCCCGAAACCCGAACCCCGAAACCCGAAACCCTGAACCCAACCCTAAACCCTAAACCATAAACCATAAACCATAAAACATAAAACATACACCATCAACCATACATCCTACACCAGAAACCACAAAACATAACCATACATCCTACACCAGAAACCACAAAACATAAAACATCAATCATATACCATAAACCATAAACCATAAACCATAAACCATAAACACAAAACACGAAACACGAAACCCAAGAAGTGAGCTGAACTGCGCGAGACCAACCGCGCCACGTTGCCAGGTACCAGCTCCAAACCCTAAACCCTAAACCCCAAACGTTAAGGCTGGATTCTATGTACGACACAATTACGAAATTCAGCCTGACCCTAAAACTATTATGGAACCCGAAATGTTTGAACGAAACCTTGTGTGCTTGTTTTTTAAAGAACTGGGCTTCTCCAACACAAAATACACACATCGACATAATTTTCTTACGATACACACAACGTTTCGACATAATTGCATTGCGAACTCCGCAAGAGTCTCAAATCCAATTTATTGCTGAAGTGTTGAAGCCGCCGATTGACGTTTGAATTTTCGTATTTGTGTGACACATCGAATCCGTCTTAAACTCTAAACCCGAAACCCGAAACCCGACACCCGACACCCGAAAACCTAAAACCTAAACACGACACCATACACTCTCAACCCTAAACCCTAAACCCTAAACCCCCCAACCTCAAACCCTAAACCCTGAACCCTAAACCCTAAACCCAAAACCCAAAACCCAAAACCCCAAATCCCAAACCCCAAACCCCAAACCCCAAACTCCAAACCACAAACCCGAAACCCCAAACCCCAAACCCCAAACCCGAAACCCCTAAACCCGTAACCCGAAATTCAGAACATGAGCAGCACGAGACCAACCGCGCCGCGTTGCCAGGTACCAGCTCTGAACCCTCAACCCTTAACCCCCCCAACCCTCAACCCTCAACCCTCGACCCTAAGGCTGGATTCTGTGTAAGGCTTACGACACAACTACGAAATTCAGCTCAAAAGTGGCCCTGCAACAATTATGCAACACGAATTTGTGAAACACAGTGAAACCGTGTGTTCTTAATTAATTAGTGTTGGGCTTCCCCACAACGAAATACTCGCAACGTTTCAGATTGATTTCCCTACGCACTCCAAAAGAGTAACGGTCTCAAATCTGATTTATAGCTGAAGCGTTGCCGTTTTCCTTAAGAGCTTCACAATTTCGGAATAACTCAGAGTCACCGATTGACTTTGAATTGCGTATTTTTGCGGCACCTAGAATCCGCTCTAAACTCCAAACCCCAAACCCTAAACCCTAAACCCTAAACAACAAAACCCCAAAACCTAAAACCTAAACCCAAAACCCTACACCCCAAACCCTACACCCTTAACCCTAAACCCTGCACTCTTAACCCTCAATCCTAACACCTACACCCTACACCCTACACCCTGAACCCTGAACCCTGAACCCTGAACCCTGAACCCTGAACCCTGAACCCTGAACCCTTCAACTATTACCCTACACCCTAAACCCCAAACTCTAAACCCTAAACCCTAAACTCTAAACTCTATACTCTAAACCCTTAACCCTAAACCCTTATATCGAAACTCTGAACCTCAAACCCTCAACCCTCAACCCTAAACCCTAAACCCTAAACAATAAACACTAAACACTAAACACTAAACAGTAAACCCTCAACCCTCAACCCTGAACCCCTAACCCCCAAACTTTAAACCCTAAACCCTGCACTCTAAACCCTAAACCCTAAACCCTGCCCTCAACCCTCAACCCTCAACCACAAGCCCTCAACCCTCAACCTCAAACTCTCAACCCTCAACCTCAAACTCTCAACCCTCAACCCTCAACCCTAAACTCTAAACCCAAAACCCTCACCCCTCAACCCTGAACCCTGAACCCTCAACTCTGAACCCTTAACCCTCA